GGTACGTGGGTGTTGGGGTCTTGGGAATGGGCGTTGGGGTCAAGGACTTTTGGTACAAAGACGTTGGAATCATGTGGATGGACATTGGGGTCAAGAAAACTGGGTGCAAGGGTGTTTGGGTCATGGGGATGGGTACTGGGGTCAAGAAAGCTGGGGACGTGGGTGTTGGTGTCATGGAGATGGGCCTTGGGGTCAAAAGACATTGGGTACGTTGGTGTTGGGGTCAGGGGAGTGGGCCTTGGGGTCAAGAACGTTGGGTATGTTGGTATTGGGGTCATGGGGATGGGTGTGGGGGTCAAGAAAGTTGGTTACGTGGGTGTTGAGGTCATGGGGATGGGCGTTGGGGTCAAGGAAGTTGGGTACATTGGGGTTGGGGACGTGGGGATGGGCGTTGAGGACAAGGATGTTGGTTATGAAGGTGTTGGGGTCATGGGAATGGGCGTTGAGGTCAAAGACACGGGACGTTGGCGTTGGGATCATGGAGATGGGCGTTGGGGTCAAGAACGTTGGGTACGTTGGGGTTGGGATCATGGAGATCGGCGTTGGGGTCAAGGACATTAGGTACGTTGGCACTGGGGACATGGGGATGGGTGTTGGGGTCATAGACATTGGGTACAAGGGCGTTGGGGTCATGGGAATGGGCCTTGGGGTCAAGAACGTTGGGTACGTTGGTGTTGGGGTCATGGCAATTGATCTTGGGGTCAAGGTCATTGGGTGTAAAGGTGTTGGGATCATGGGGATGAGCGTTGGGGTCAAGAAAGTTGGGTACGTTGGGGTTGGGGTGATGGGGATTGGTGTTGGAGTCAAGGACATTGGGTACGTTGGTGTTGTGGACATGGGGGTGGGCCTTGGGGTCAAGAAAGTTGGGTACGTGGGTGTTGGGGTCATGGGGATGGGCGTTGGGTCAAGGACGTTGGGTATGAAGGTGTTGGGGTCATGGGGATGGGCGTTGGAGTCAAGAACGTGGGGAACATTGGGGTTGGGGTCATGGGGATGGGCCTTGGGGTCAAGGATGTTGAGTTTGAAGATGTTGGGGTCATGGGGATGGGTGTTAGGGTTAAGAAAGTTGGGTGCAAGGATGTTGGGGACGTGGGGATGGGTGTTGGGGTCAAGAACGTTGGGAACGTTGGGGTTGGGGTCATGGGGATGGGCCTTGGGGTCAAGAACGTTGGGTACAAGGGGTTTGGGTTATGGGGATGGGCGTTGGGGTCAAGAACATTGGGTACGTTGGGGTTGGGTATGTGAGGTTGGGCATTGGGGTCAAGAAAGATGGGTACGTTGGTGTTGGGGTCATGGGAATTGATCTTGGGGTCAAGAACGTTGGGTGTGAAAGTGTTGGGGTGATGTGGATGGGTGTTGGGGTCAAGAAAGTTGGGTACGTTGGCTTTGGGGTCATGGGGATGGGTGTTGGGGTCAAGGATGTTGGGTATGAAGATGCTGGGGCCATGGCCACGGGCACTGGGGTCATGGCCGTGGGCGTTGGGGCCATGGCAGTGGACGTTGGGGCCATGGCCATGGTTGTTGGGGCCATGGCCATGGGTGTTGGGGCCATGGCGGTTGACGTTGGGGTCATAGCCATGGGCGTTGGGGTCCTGGAGATGGCGCTGGGGTCATGGCTGTTGGGTACATTGGTGTTGGGGCCATGGAGGTGGACGTTGGGGTCATGGCTGTTGGGTATGTTGGCGTTGGGGCCATGGAGGTGGGCGTTGGGGTCATGGCCATTGGGTACGTTGGCGTTGGGGCCATGGCCACAGGCGGTGGCGGTGGCCGTTGGGTCCTTGACACGGGCACTGACGCGGACGGGCATGGGGTCATGGTGGTGAACGTTGGGGCCATGGCCGTTGGGTACATTGGCATTGGGGTCCTGGAGGTAGACGTTGGGGTCATGGCCATTGAGTACGTTGGCGTTGGGGTCAAGGAGGTAGACTTTGGGGTCATGGCCATTGGGTACGTTGGCGTTGGGGCCATGGCCACGGGCGGTGGCGGTGGCCGTTGGGTCCTTGACACGGGCACTGACGCGGACGGGCATCATGTTCCTCATCCTGGTGTTCTTCATCCTGGTGTTCCTCATCGTCACGTTCCTCATTCTGGTGTCCCCCGTCCTGGTGTTCCTCATCTTCATGTTCCTCATCCTGGTGTTCTTCATCCTGGTGTTCCTCATCGTCACGTTCCTCATTCTGGTGTCCCCCGTCCTGGTGTTCCTCATCTTCATGTTCCTCATCCTGGTGTTCTTCATCCTGGTGTTCCTCATCGTCACGTTCCTCATTCTGGTGTCCCCCGTCCTGGTGTTCCTCATCTTGGTCTTCCCCATCCTGGTGTCCCTCATCTTCATGTTTTTCATCATGGTGTTCCTCATCTTTGTGTTCCCCATCCTAATGTTCTTCATTGTGGTGTTCCTCATCTTGGTCTTCCCCATCCTGGTGTTCCTCATCTTGGTGTTCTTTATTTTCATGTTCTTCATCCTGGTGTTCTCCATCTTGGTGTTTCCCATCCCTGGTGTCCCCTGTCTTGGTGTTCCTCATCGTCACGTTCCTCATTCTGGTGTCCCCCGTCCTGGTGTTCCTCATCTTCATGTTCCTCATCCTGGTGTTCTTCATCCTGGTGTTCCTCATCGTCACGTTCCTCATTCTGGTGTCCCCCGTCCTGGTGTTCCTCATCTTGGTCTTCCCCATCCTGGTGTCCCTCATCTTCATGTTTTTCATCATGGTGTTCCTCATCTTTGTGTTCCCCATCCTAATGTTCTTCATTGTGGTGTTCCTCATCTTGGTCTTCCCCATCCTGGTGTTCCTCATCTTGGTGTTCCCTATCCTGGTGTTCCTCATTTTCATGTTCTTCATCTTGGTGTTCCTCATGTTCACGTTCCTCATCCTGGTGTCCCCTGTCCTGGTGTTCCTCATGTTCACGTTCTTCATCTTACTGTCCCTCATCTTGGTGTTCTTCATCCTGGTGTTCCTCATCTTCTTGTTCCTCATCTTGGTGTTCCCCATCCTGGTGTTCGTCATTCTCATGTTCTTCATCCTGGTGTTCGTCATCTTTGTGTTCCCCATCCTGGTGTTCTTCATCTTCATGTTCCTCATCTTCACGTTCTTCATCTTGGTGTCCCCCATCTTGGTCTTCCCCATCCCGGTGTTCCTCATCTTCACGTTCTTTGTGTTCTTCATCCTCGTGTTCTTCATCTTGGTGTCCCTCGTCGTGGTGTTCCCCATCCTGGTCTTCCTCGTCTTGGTGTCCCCCATCCTGGTGTCTCCCGTGTCCTCCATGTCCCCCGTGCCACGCCCACGTCCCTCACACCGTGTCCTCGCCCCCCATGTCCCCTGGGCCACCCGGCCGTCCCCTGGCCGTGCTGTAGGGTGTCCCTGGGGTGTCCCCTGGGCGCTGCGTCCCACCGCGTGTCCCCCCCCCGGGTGGGGGCTCTTCGCCATGGAGCCCATCGCCGCCGACGAGATGGTCATCGAGTACGTGGGGCAGAACATCCGCCAGGTCAGCCCCACCCACCCCATGGTCACCTCCCACCACCTCCCACCACCCCATGGTCACCTCCTACCACCCCATGGTCACCTCCCACCAGCACCAACCACCCCATGGCCATCTCCTGCCATCCTTGGTGACCCCCAACCACCCCGGGGTCACCTCTTCCCATCACTGGGGACCCCCAAGCACCTCATGGTCACCTTCCACCTCCCACTACCACCCAACCACCCCATGGTCACCTCTTTCCATGCTTGGGGACCCTCAAGGACCTCATGGTCACCTCCCACCACCTCTGACCACCCCATGGTCACCTCCCACCACCCTTGGTGACCCTCAACCACCCCGTGGTCCCCTC